AACAAATAATAACAATTATTATCAATTTTCAAAAAATGGTTTATAAAATAATAAAAAATAATTATTTTTCACAACGGATTTTGCCAAGTTCATTAGTTTTTGTGATGGTATTACCTCTACACAAATCACATACATTTTCAAAGTGGTATTTACAGACATGTAAACCACATACACAACATCGATACTTGAAACAACACTTTTATACTCTATCTTCACCTGATTTAGAACAAATATGGCACCTTCCACTTCCTTTAGGAACAAGAGAACTTGTTTCTAATAATGTATTCGTTTCTTCATAATTTACACCCAAAAACGAGCAATTTTTATTTTTGTTTCGTACGGAAGATTTTTAACAGTCTTGATGTTGCATTCTGTTTTCCAAGCTGAAGTGATAGTTGCTCATAAAAAATGATTCTTGGTTTTTGGCAATTTTTGATTCAAAATATACACGAAATTTTTCTTCTGATATAATTTTTTGTTGTTTTGATGTGGATGATTTTGAAATTTCACTTAATTCCAAATTACATTGATTTAAAATCGTGGAACTTCTGGTCTCATTTACAACGACGGTATCTTTTTTCTTCTAAATCATCAACAAAGTCTGATGGCTTATAATCAACTTTGGACCAAATATATAATAAATAGGCGTTGTGAATGGCGATGTCTAGAATATGTTAAAAAAAGAGCTAATGGCCAGCGTCGAGATGCTCTCTTAGTTGAGTGTGCTTTCATCAGTCGATCAGCGACATCAACGCCTCCCATAAAATTATTGTATATTATGTTGACGTTGAAACGTTTGGTTTCGTTGTGGTAAATAATGTTTAATTTGCGAGAGGTTAGAATTAACACACTGCGATTCTTGTCTTTGAAATTTACCATAACAATTTCGGCATTTGGAACAGTCTTTAATAGTTTAAATTGTCTGTAATCGTCAGTCGACTTCTTGTTTATTACAAGAGTACTTGGTACAAATTTCCGTTTAGAATTGACAGTACCAGTCAAAGTAACAAAATGTTCTATTACAACTTCAGCTGTTGATACAAAAGTAAAGAACCTATCAGTGGTCAAATTAACCAAATTATCTTTATTACCCAATTGTTTTTTTTTTGCTAAGCTCTTCCATCAATTGAACAACAACTATAGACCCAAGATTATTAACAGGCTTGCCATTAAAAGTCCCTCTGTAGACCTGCAAATTGATTATAAAACCACATACAGAATCAACCAACAAGAAAAATTTGATTCCATATTTTGAAGGTTTATTCTTCATATAAGTAACATTCACCCACCGACCAAAAAACAATACAAATCTTCATCAATGTTCAACTCAGAAGAGTTTCTAAATATAGTTTTTTGAACTTCAATTAAATTTGAATGAAATAAAGAAAGAAGTTGATTGATAAAGTTGAAATTGTCCCAGTTGAGTTCGTCATCTGGGTAAAGTGAGTTTCTTTGGTCTTCAAAATTAAGACCATTTTGATGTTGATTATTGTGTATTTGTTTTGGGGCGTTCAAACTCTGAGAAATGTATTTCGTGATAGGAATTGTATTATTTAAAATGTGAACATCTATTATATTGGCTTGGTGTTTGTGTTTGATGGAAGCCATTTGTGTTGTCTTGTTGGGTCATTTTATTTATTCTTATAATTCTTGATACCAAATTGTTACTGTTGTATAGTGGCACGAAGTGAAATCCATCAATCGAACTAACATCACTTGAAATACCAATGAATTGAGAATGTGGTTGTGTAAGAATATTCTGTTGCGTTGGGACAATTATTTGTTGGTTTATATCTTGTGTATCCTGGATAATACGAGTAAAAACACTGATTTTTCGTTGGGTTTCATCCATTCTCCCAACAATTTGGTCGAATGTTGGAATTGGACGGTAATCATCAGAAATTAATGGCGTCGTTCTTTTTCTGGATACTTCAATTACTTGATCAAGTGGGTCATAAGTATCATCATTTACACACTGAATTTGGTCTTCCTCAATTTCTTCATCTTGGACTTCTTCCGAATGTATTTGGTTAACTCGGCTTGCCGCCTCTGTGTCGAAACGTAACGCCCACTTTATTTCGGAATACCTTTCAACGCTGATGGGTCTGGTGAACATTGGCTTTGAAGCGAGTCCTTTCCACAAAGAAGAAAGTGGACGCTTTGTGTCTTGATAATTGGCTTGTGAAATTGATACCGAAAGGAATGCATCCAATTCCGTTTCTGTGATTTTTTTTGAAAACTTGTTTGCCTTTCTTGTTTTTGATAGCGACTTTCCCATAGTTATTCGATTGAAGGATAACAAAATCTTTCAACTCTTTAGTGAAAAATAAACTATATATTTCATAAGGCGTTGTTTCGTCGGTTATTCCATGGACTTCTGGATATCTATCCACTTTGAAGCTGAACTTTTGATCAGTTTTTTCCGTTTTAATTTGTTCCCAGACACATGTACCATCATTCGCAGTTACTGTATTCACTGTAGATGATACAGACATTGGTTTATTATTCGAGTTTTTTAGATAGTTTGTGCTATAAAAACAAAATTATCAACAATTATCAACAAAATGATAAAAAACTAAAATTTTAGCTTTGGGATAAATGAAATTCGAATTAGTCACATTTTGAAAACAAAGAAATATTTGTTTTTCCAAAGTCTTCGATTTTTTAATTGATATTTTTTTATTTTCCAGTTTCTTTTTTTAATGGCTCATAAAAACGAGCCACAGCTTTTTTGCCGATAAATTTTGTGTTTGTTTGGCCGGTTAAAGTCTGTTTTCTATTTAGCGATATTATAAAAATTTAACAAAGATAAAAACTAGACCGAAAAAATTAAACCATAATTTACTATATTTAATATCGCTAATTAAAACCAATGTTAAACAATTTTAAGCATTGCCTTTTTTTCGAATCACTTATTGTCGTCTTCAATTTGACCCAAATAATAATTTGACATGTCTGCTTTATCTAATATGACATTTTATTCATTTTGAATAATATAGTTGACTCGTTCATTTCTTAGTATTCACATTTCAAGACCAACCTATTCTTTGTTTTGGCTAAATAAATTTTTTTAGTTGTCAACCAATTTTATTTTTTGTTATTTTTTGCACACCGTTATAAAAAAAACAAAAAAAAATTGAAAAACCACGTTCTTTTTATTATAAATTATTATACAGTTACTATAAATAATAATAAAAACCCAATATTGTCAAATAGAAAAAAGACATACTTTAAATCGCAATTTTATTATTTCATTTTTTAATAATAATTATATTAATTTTTTATTTGTTTTTTTTGAAACATAAAAAATTATAATTTAAATAGTATTTTTACTAATTAATAAAGTCAACTATTTTAAAAAGGAGTAGTATCAAAATCTGGTCGGTTCGTCGCTCGAAACCTTTCCCTTCGGTCAGGTCAACCTCGCTGAGGGGGCTCCGCTTTGCTCCACCCCCTTTCACCAACCACATTTTGCCGTCCCTTCGGTCCGGCTACTAAAGTACTCCGGGTTCGCGTTTTTAACGTTCTCATCCTTCGTACTTTTTTTACCTCATATATATTAATAAATAATACTTACGCTTGAAAAAAAACAGGGAAACTATTGAAAAAATAGTACGGCACTTTGTGTCTCTTTATGAACTATTTTTGTACTTTTTATTTTTTTTATTTTATAAAAATGCAAACCAAAGTTGAAACCTTAAAAAAGACAATTATCGAGATTCCTTATGGAGTCAAATATTTATCTAAAACAGAAGGATTTAATTTTCCAAATGGATTTTTAAATAAAGTTTTACCTAATGTAGGAGGAACTCATTTTGCAATAGTTTCCAAATATCCTTCAATTATATGTTCTCCTAGAATCGGAATGTTGGAATCTAAAATGAAACAACATAAAGGTCTTCTTTTTGTTAAAGAATGTTCTAACGATAAAGAAACGATATGTGATTATTTATATTGTAATCCTAATCCTAAAATATTAGTAACATATGATTCTTTCCATAAATTAATTGAAAACATTCCAAACATTAACAGATTTAGAATAATTGTAGATGAATTCCAATTTATTCTATCTGATTCTTCTTTTAAATTAAACGCATTAACGAGATTCTTAAATGCATTATCTGGTTTATAACATGTTACTTACTTATCTGCCACTCCAATTCCTGATAAATATATCGAATTATTACCACAATTACCTTATTATGAATTTAAATGGATGAATAACGATCGAAAAACAATATATTTTGATGATTCTGGAAAAACGTCTGACAATTATGCGGCAAACACGAATGATTACATTATTAAATCTAAAAAATCAAATAATCCATTAGAATACATGATTAATTATTTGAAAACATGTAAATACGGTATTTATGAAAATAAAAATAGAATTAAAGCTAAAGAAATAGTAATATTTATCAATTCTATCAGTTCAATACTTGAGTTGTGTTATAAATCTGGATTAGGTGAAAATGATGTTAATATTTTAATTAGTAATAATATTGATAATATTAATAAGATTAATAATTTTAATAAGAAATATAACACTAATTATGAAATAGAATGTCTGAAAATAGATGAAATAATAGATGATACTGAACATTTGGATCAATTTGGAAAAATTAATAATACCAATTATAAATGCTTGTGCTAAAAATAATAAACAATTTACATTCTGTAAAAAGCTTATTCTGCTGGTTGTGATTTTTATAGTACTTGTGCGAAATCATTTGTTATTAATAATGTTAAATCCAATATCACGTTTAATATTTCAACTGAATTATTTCAAATTATTGGAAGACAACGTTTAGATTGTAATCCTTTTAAAAAATGAATTGATATTCATTTACACTACATCTTTAACAGAAAAGAAAGATAATTTAGATAATGATTTGATTAAAGCTCAGAAGTTTATTGAAAATTATAATAGATTAAATTTGGAAGTTAAAGAAGATTTTAATCAAGAAATTATGTCAAAGATTTCTCAAAATGTTTATCGAGAAGATTGTGATATATTTAAGAATTATATTTATTTAGATAATAATATATTTAAATTAAATAAATTATCAATTTGTTGTTATAAATTAAATAAAGAAATGTTAGAAAAAACATATAAATCTAAAACTGAAGTTGATAATAATATTAATAATATATTTGAAAATCATGAAGAAGATAAATACAAATTAATAAATATTTATGTAACATTTATAAATTATACTGAATTATACATTAATTTAATTAAAGATCCAATAAATACCAAATTTGATTTAGAAATTATTAATAACACATATCCATCTATAAAACAATATTATGAAGATTTAGGAGAAAATAAAATGAAAGCTTTAAATTATAAAGAGAGTAAAATGAAAAGGGAAGTATTGAACAATACTATAATTTCAAATAATGCCGAAGATTTAATTAAACAAAGAATTACTAAAGATTTTACTGTTAAAGAAGCTAAAGATATATTACAAGAAATATATTTAGAATTAAAAATAAATAAAACAGCTAAAACAACGGATATTGTCAAATTGTTACCTAATAATTATAAAATTACTAAGAAGAGAATAAATAAAATACCTACTGATATGTTAATAATTATGTCCAAATAATGACATATATGTCTTATTATGTTAAAAACGTGTATATTTGAATAAAAAAGTAGTTTGTACATACTTTTAACATGGTTATACATATAATATCCATACTTATCCCAATATAATGAACAATATAAATCCCAACATGTTATTTTTGGTATTTTTTTCTGTCAATAAAATGGACTTATTAAATAACATGAATAAATATTTTAACACGGCTAAAAAAAGATTGATAACAATCAGATGAGTAAAAATGCGAATAAAATGAGTAATTATGAAACTGACGAGAAACTCATGCCTAAGGCTGACGAGAGAATCACGATAAATGCTAATGATAAAAATAAGATGGATGAAGCAGAGTCGAAGGCTGAGCAAAGCGTCTACACATCTTTTAGATGTGGTGACAAATTAATAAAAAATCGGTTATATAACTAAAAGATATGACATGAATGAATCTGAAGATGTTAGAAGATGTAATAAAGAAATAAATCGATATATTGTTAAACATCCAGATGTAAAGAATATAAATACTAAATAATTAAATGCTAGCATTTATATTAAAGGATATGTATTTTGTAAAAATAAAGGCAATTTGGAAATTATTAAAACGCGAGTATGAATAGGAGAAAAACATTTTAACGAACAAATGAGTAAATAGAGTGATAAATTATCACAAATAGAAAATGAAACTAAAAATATTGATTTATCATCTATCAATGATGAACTTGTAAAATTGAAAACTTAAAATAAAGTATTATTAGAACAATATGATAAAATGGAAAATGTAATGAAAAGTTTTGTGATACCATTATTATATCATTATAGAATTAGTAATAAGATTAGTGATAATATCTTAGAAGAAATTACAAAACAATTTAATGCTTAATTTCATCGCGAGCTAAAGCTTAATTATTTTATTATTTTATTATTCTGCCATTGTTTTCACTGGTTCATCTGGATTTCCAAATATATTGGTACTGAATAATATTGTTTTAGTTTTCATGATTCGCTTTGGTTTGTTTGAAGAGAAACTCATGCCTAAAGCTGAAGAGTTATCTTCTTTATCCGTCTTTAATCTTGGAATAACTTCATAAGGTTCACACTTAACTTTATTTTTATATGCTTTCCACAATTTATCTTTTTCAGAAAAAGTTGGTTTTATACTTCAAAGACCAGTTGGTTTTAAGATAAATATTTCCTTGGATATTTCATTATAATAAAAATCTTCATCATGACCATAAATGTTAATAATATGTTTACATGTAGTTAGAATTTTATTTTTAAAACGAGATAGTAAATCATTTTCTACTTCAATCTTTAAATCTTTTTGTTCTTCATATACAACTTTGGTTTGCATTTTTATAAAATAAAAAAAATAAAAAGTACAAAAATAGTTCATAAAGAGACACAAAGTGCCGTACTATTTTTTCAATAGTTTCCCTGTTTTTTTTCAAGCGTAAGTATTATTTATTAATATAAACTTGGGCCATAAAGTCCGACACGTTATAACAGTATTTTTTTTCTTTTGTTTTTCGGGATATTAATATATTTTGTCGAAATTTATACCTGTTTTACTTATCATTATTTTCCCTTATTTCGATTTTTTGCGTCTTATTTTTTGATTTTTAATTTTCTACTTACACTACAATTTCCTTATTTCAAAATCATGAAATATTTTGGTTTATAAAACACGAAAAATTAATTTCATACCCAAATTTTATACAAAAATCGCAAATTTAATCAATATTATTACATTTAAAAAAATGAAAATAAAATTATTTTTTTTTCAATTCGTTGATTTTTACAATAACAACGAAAAACACGACTTAATTATAATTTTATTATTAAATGAAACTAAAAAGTGGATCAAAATTTTATATGGAAACACATGAAATTAATTAAAACACCACAAGTAACAAAAAATTTTTATTTTCGTTATGTTGAAAATATTAAAATATTAATTATAAAAATGTAAATATATAATAATTGATTAATTTTGTTTTTATAGATGAAATATAGGTGATTCTAAATATTAATTGGAATAAAAAATACTTTTTATTATAAAAAAAATTAACAATTATTACTTGTTTTTATTTGACTTTTATAATACTTAATCATTTCATTATTAATTTATTATAGAATTTGTTTAAAAATGATATAGAAAGACAAAGCAAATTACGTTAATGTTTCATGACAGAAATATATAACAATAATGACAGTTGTAAATGGAACACTTTTATCAATTATTGTGATTATAATAAAATGTATTATAATTATAGTTTTGTTAACAACAATTATAATCAAAAAATCATATTTTTGTTAAAGCTAAAAACTATTTTTACATATCAAAACAAAGTAGTTACTTTATTTATAATTTGTGAAAACAATGAATGTTTTAATGAACGTTTTTGTGGGATGAACTAAAAAAATAATTGAAGAAAAAACACATCAAAAATAAAATAAGAATTATAAATGCTCATAACATTTAGCTCATTTCCCGTTTTTCTTGACATAATTCATTAATTATTTCAATAAAATTTTTAAAAAATAGCAGAAAAACAAATCCGAAAGTCCGATACGTCGGACTTTGTGTCCGGAGTTTATATGAGGTAAAAAAAAGTACGAAGGATGAGAACGTTAAAAACGCGAACCCGGAGTACTTTAGTAGCCGGACCGAAGGGACGGCAAAATGTGGTTGGTGAAAGGGGGTGGAGCAAAGCGGAGCCCCCTCAGCGAGGTTGACCTGACCGAAGGGAAAGGTTTCGAGCGACGAACCGACCAGATTTTGATACTACTAAGGCATAAAAGTCGTTAGATATTTATTAACTACATTAATAAGATAGTTATTATTATTATTAAAAATTAAATCATATCACCATACTTTATTGTTCCAATTAATAAAACCATGTTAACAAGACTCAAACTCGACTGTTTTATAACGATTTAACTGTTGTAGATCCATCATCAAAGACTGTTTTCCCTTGCTCGGTAAACCCTTTTAGACTCAACAGTGTTCGATATCCACTCTTCATAAACACAGCGGAAAGTGCTGGGTGTCTGACTCCCTTATCTAAGAAGACGTTTTTATTGACAACCAAGTCATCACCTCGTCTTGACAAAAACGGGTGTTTTAAATATTTCACAACGTACTCAACACCATTCAGTTTGATAACTTCACCCTCTTTGATTCCCTTTTTAAAAGTGACAAGAAACACTTCTTCGGTGTTATTTGAAGATAAATTTGCGATCATCTTTTGACACCCACAATACACCTCTTCTATTGTCAAGTAAATTTCATGTGAGTGCATTTGTTGTGTTTCTTCATTGGTTTTCAAAGCATTTTGTTCTTTTAATTCCTTGTCTTTTATTATTTGTGTGAGTTCGTTGTTTTTATTAAACAAATCATCTCTTTCTTTTTTTAATCGACTAATTTCACTATTCGTTTCTTCTTTACTCTTTTCCAAGTCTTCAACTTTTTTAAATGTAACTCGAATGTTTCTTTCTAGTTCATTGACCTTATTTTCAATAATTTCTTTTTCCTTTAATATGGCATCCAATTGATGATTTGTGTCTTCTTTGCTTTTGGATACACTTGGAGTTGTTTCAACAACAGAAACATCCCGTTGCATTTGTTGATGCATTTCGACTGTTATTGTAATCAACCCGTTCAGTTTTTTTAAACGTATTATGTATTCATGAAGTTGTTCTTTTTTCAATTTTAAGTTATTTAATATGGCAGTTGGGAGAACGTTTTGTAATTTAAGCATTTCTTCAAAACGAGCTATTTCTTTAATTGCGTTTTTAGTGTTTTGTTGGGCGTTTATAACTTCTTCTAAAAATTTGTTTGCTTTAATGTGGCCTTCCATTCGAGTTTTTTAGTTTTTCTTTTTTTTTAATTTATTTTTAAAATTCGAATAAATTAATAAAAAATACTTAAAATTTTATAAATTATTTTATTCAATTATTTTTATGTTTTTAAATGGAACATCTTTTTGAAATTATAGAACTTTAAATAAATGATTAATTTAACCTTTCAAGTTTTTATTAAAATTTAAAAATCATTATATATAGATATTTAACATTATTCAGTAATCACAAGTTATTGATGTAATCGAGTTTTGATTATACATAATATAATAATTTACTATTATATATTAACTGGTGTGGCATTTGTTTGTGCATTTACATGTGTTATGGTTAAATGGATCCGAACCAAAGTAGGAATTTAGAAGTATGTGAAAGGAATGAATAATAAGATTGTTTTTGTGCGCCTTCTTGACGTTGTTTTGTAACTTGGTATCTACAAAGACGATCATTCGGTACTTTTAGGTTAAAAAACATTTCTGTGTTAACAATTTATCATTATTTTAGTCAGAATATTGTTCACAACAAAAAAAAACAAAGTAAATTTTGGGGTTATGAGTTAAATTGGGTATTACAATAATTCATTAAAAACATTTTAATTGAATAATTTTATGTTTTGTTTTAAGTATTATTAAACTGTATTAAAAATGTTTAAAAAATGTCTTGCTTATAATAAATATAAAGATCATGTCTATTTGAATAACGTTTTTTAATTGGGGTACAATATTTTAAAGACTTGCTGTTCTTTTTATAAATGGGTTTTTACTTTGAGAGTAAAAAAACGTTTTATTTTAATGTGCAACTTCAAATGTTTTCAAATATTTACTTCACATTTATTATATTAATGTATTATAATAATAATACCAATATTTATATAAAGTACTCTATTTTTTTACTACTCACCTTATATTTTTATTTTAGTTTATTTACATAATAAGATATCTTTTTTTAATAGTTTTAAATAAATAAACATGATTTATTTGTTTTATTTCTAATTAAATAGTTTTTTCTATTGTATATTATGACAAACCAGAACATTGTAATTTAACAACATACATAATAATTCAGGGTTTTAAACAAGTCATTCAATTTTTTAATTTTTATATAATAATAATATTAGTTTTTGGTAAATTCAAATAAATTTTAGAAATCTTTGTTTTAATTGTAAAAAAAATATTTTAATCTGTTTTCATTTGAAATATTTTTGATCTTTTACAAAGAATAACATTATAAATAGAATTTCACCAACTTATTATATTCAATGCTTCTTTTTTGTATTATATTGTTTATTACCGTATCCAAATCATTAAAACAGTGTTACACTATTGACACTGCATATGGTGGATGTATCAAATACTATGATTATGGTAATAGTACGGACTGTGATCCCAACTTAATAATTACTGAAGGAACAGAAGTCTGCAAAATGGGGTTTTACCAAAAGACAGTACTTAAAACTGTTATGATGAAGTCTGCAGTAAAAATAGGTAACATGGCTTTTGCTTATTTGACGTTAACTAATGCGACGTTTGGAGACTCATTAAAAGTGATAGAAGATTACGCTTTTTATGTCTCACATTTTACTTCATTTGACCTTGCAAATGTTGAGTATATCGGCAACAGTGCTTTTGAAGCTTCTTCGTTTCTTCAATACATAACAGGTGGCTATTCTCTCAAAAGTGTTGGTGACAATGCCTTTTATTCGACTCCGATAACTTCACTATGCAAAGGAAATGATGACATTAATTATTGTGAAAATTTAACTTACATTGGCGACCATGCTTTTGAGATGTCTTTTTTGCCAAATTTCAAATTGTCTTATTCCCCATCCTTACATGTCGGGATATCGGCCTTTGCTAATATCTTTCAACTGGAAATGTTCGACATGAGTGGGTATCATACTATTACTAAAGAGATGTTTGTCTACTGCAACAATCTTAAGCAAATTAAAAATTCTGAAAAGGTGACGAGTATTGAAAACCAAGCAATAGATAATACGGCTGTCACTGTACTCTCTGTTGGTCAATTGTCCTATGTTGGCTTTGCTTTATCGGCTATTGAAACGTTGTTTTACTATGGAACTTCAGAACCAATTTTGGGTAAGGATTATACAACACCAACAAACATGAAAGTGTATGTCACAGATAAATACAACACAGTCAACGACCAATTTACTGGACTGGCCACTACTGTTGTTAATTGTAATAATAATCAAAAAGTCGATTTAACTGACTTATCATGTAAATCATGCGAAGATGGGTTATCCACAATCGAAGGATTGAGCATGGAATGTACAGTGAATACTTCGACATGCAATGGGATGTACAAAGGTTGTGCCTTAAATGCTTGCACTGAATTTCAGTGCTTGAAATGTGAAAAAGGCAAGTATTTCGATTTTGATACAAAGAAGTGTATAGAGACGTGCGATACAGCAAATGGATTTCATCTTTTATTTGACCAAATAACTTGTGTGAAATGTCCTGAAAATTGTAATAAGTGCACCGAATCAAGTGAAGAAAATCCTTCCAGTAAATACACATGTATTGAGTGTAAAGGTGGATATACAAAAACAAGTAAAGGAATGTGCACAACATCAACACAATGTAATAGCACGTCAAATGAAGTTATCATAGAAAATGGCACATGCACATTATGCAATGAACTGATTGCAGGGTGTCAGACTTGTTCTGATAAAACGACATGCACGAAATGTAGTGGGAAATATCGTTATAATTCAGATAAAAAACTGGAGTGTTTAACAAGTTGCGTCAATTATTATGAAGTCGCTGGGACAAACATGTGTGTTGATGACTGCGATAATGTGACTCAGTACAAAGACAGTGAAAAGGCGATATGTTTTGATTATCCAAAAAGTTGTGTTATATATAATACATCCGATTTATTAAATGAACAAATAAGGTGCTCAAAATGTGCAAGCAAGTATTATTTAACTTATGACACCAAAGAGTGTGTTGATCAATGTTCAGTTGATTATGAACAAGTAGAACCCAATGGAAATGAAGATGGCAAATGTAATCAAATTGTGTGTGACGACACAAACTGTGAAAATTGTACATCTCAGAGTAAAAATATTTGCATGAAATGTAAAAGCCCTTATTATCTTTATTTGAACGAAGACCGAAGTACAAAATGTGAATCAACGTGCACTAAAGACACTCATTTTGAAAAGACAAATAATGATGTTTTGTACTGTAAAATGTGTTCTGATTTAACTGATGGTATTGAAAAGTGTATAAAATGCTCTATTAATGAAAATGAAAAGAAATGTAACACTTGTGAAACTGGATATTATGTGCAGCCAAATTCTCTTAATGAGTGTAAAACGACGTGTCCAACTGGATACAAAATTGGTGATAACGGCGATTGTGAGAAATGTGCAGATAATTGTATTTCATGTGATACAAATGGAAAGGGAAAGTGTGACAAGTGCGTTTCATCGTATTATTTACTTGAAAACACATTGACGTGTTCATCGACTTGTGATATCGAAAAGGGATATTTCAAGAATGAAACTGTTACTGATAACTTAAAATGTAACAAATGTGACGAATATTGCGATCAATGTGCTTCAAAAAGTGAATGCTTGCATTGCGAATATGGCGCATTTTTATTTGAAAATAAGTGTATTGGAACATGCCCAGTTGGGTATTTTGAAAATGTCAGACAGTGCTCGAAATGCAAAGATGGTAATACATATAAAACACCATGTTATTCGGATGATAAAGAGTGTAATAAATGTGCTACTCCATCACAAGACGCTTCATTACTATTAGAAATATCAATAGTATTTTTGTTGTTATTCTTCATATTCTAATTTATTTTCGATTCGATTTTAATGTTGTTAAATGCAAATTTAATTATTTTGTTTTTTAACTTTTCATGTTTTTATTAACTTTAAACTTCTTTAAACATCAAAACATTATATTATAAGTATGATAAAGTTAAATATATTTTGATTTTAACTTGGTAATGACATGTATAAGGAGTTTGAATCTTTTAACTAAAGTTGAAATGCGCTTTGAAACAGATAATTTGTTTTCTATTTATAAAATAAAATGTGTTGACAATAATTTAAAGTTTTGATGTAAATGTTTTTCTTTTTATCAAAGAAGTGTTTGTCATGTTTTTTGAATTATAAAAGGGTGAAAAATAAACATCTAAACATAAATTTAATGGAAAGTGTTCTTGACCAACTTATTGCTGAATGCAATGAAGCGAAAACAAAACTTAGTGAATACAACAAATATGAAACATCATTTGCTATAACAGAAGACAAGACCCAACCGTTAGAAAGTCGCCATAAAGCTGCTATGTCACTTTATGAAAAAGCAACAGAAAACATAGCCAAATGGGAATCTTCACAAAACACATTGAAAAACGTCAGAAAGATACTTGGTGAACTTACTGCACTTTTCGATGATAAGTTGAATTATAATTCAGACAAAACAACTGAGTACAACAAAATTGTGGAACATTTGAAAAGTATAGAACAGGAAATCACAAATGAAAGAATGAAAGAATTGGATAGCAAAATTATTCCACAACCAAATGCCAATACTCAAAATGAACAAGTTGATGCACTTCTATCACAATATACAAGTCCACTTGAACGTTCATTACTTGAGAAGTGGAGTGGTCTTAAATTCAGAAAGGTTTTGTTTGACAGCACCAAAGACGACTATGCAGTAAAGACTTCAATATTTGGTAAAAGAGTAAGTGATGTACCTTTTACTTGCTACCTCATTCAAAGTGAAAATAATTGTACCTTTGGTGGCGTTTCTTACAGAGGTATATTTAATGATCCATATCAAAGCTCCCAAATAATCGATATCAACGCATTTGCTTTCAAACTTGAAGGTGAAAAATCTGAAAGATATCTTGCCAGAGGAAATATGGTTGAATTTGCTATTCACATGACACGACCACAAGACGAAGGAGAATTATTCAGTCTCTTTTCAAATACAATACTTATTATGAAGAAAGGAAATCCCAGAGGAAAATGCACCTCAAAGATTCCAGGAATGCCATATGGTAAACTCTGTGACGGTGATAACTTCATTTTAAAGAAGTTTGCCGTCTTTCAATTGGATATTTAATAATATTCACTTTTGAATATTTTTGTTTTATAAAATTATCAAATAATAACAAAATTAATTTTATTGAATAAAAATCAAAATTAAATATATAACATGTTAAATACCACATGTATAGAGCACAACTAGCTTTACTTCACTTGTTGGCAATTAAAGAAACAGTTATTGTTATTATTTAAACAATATAAAAACAAATCGTTTTGACATTTATAATTGTAATAAACAAAAAACCACGTGTTAAATATTTGAGTCAACTTGAGTTTATTTATTGTTTTTTTATTTTCAAATATGATATTTTGTATAACAACACTCGTCGTTAAAATGAAAAAGATATGAGAGAGTGTATAATTATTCTTGTAAAAACAAATAAATAATTATTACTTGGTGTATCTCAAGTGTAATTTGACTGATTTTTATTAAAAATGAATTTAATATTGTTTTAATAACAAAAACAACTTTTCATTTATTTGGTTGATAAATCATACGAATTATTTGATTGTTATATTTATTAAAAACTCAAATGTTGACAATGATTTTTAATAACACAAATGTAAAAATCAATATCAATTATCATAACAATCAAACATTGACAAAACCCTTTGTTTATTCTTAACACCATAAATTGTTATACATTAAGTGTATAAGCCTTATCAAATCTGTTATAGTATTCCTTCCACAACTTGAATTGCAATGGGTTGACGTCGACTTTAATATCATTAGAAACGGCCTTGAAATTTTGATTTTCAAATTTCGTTCGGTGTCCCAAGACATAAGGCACAATAGAGAGCATATTAGTGATATTTCTAGGACTAGTATTTGGGTATTCCAAGTAATTAGCAAACTGGCAGTCATACAAACTGTCCAACAAAAAGATGAGTAAATCTCCTTTGAACTCAAACGCCGTTTCGTTTTGTTTTCTGAGTATTTCCACGCACTCGACCCATTGTTGGAACACTGGCGAAAACTCGTTATCGTCTCCTCCTATTTTCCCAGTTTCTTTCGCCTTCGCGTTGGGGTATATCGACTGCACAACACCCCCAACATCAATATCAAATTTCGCTCCCAACCCGCTTCTGAATTTAAAGCGATGCCCAAAGTTGATCCATTCCTTCTCAATGAGCACCAAAAGCCCTTCAATAGTCCTATAATAGGGGTCCAACACCATCATCGAAAGTGACGTCAATTGACTTGTTCTGTCCCATCCGTCCGAGCAGTGGACCAAGACGGAATCTCCTCGTTTGACCTTCTCGACTATCTGGACGCTCCCAATGAAGATGGCGTAGATAAATTGGTACCACTTCGAATTCTCAATGCAATTTTTGTACTCGTAACTCGTGTGCGGAACACTCAAAATAGCTCGCAGCAGTTTGTAGAACGCGTTCCTCACCTCGTGGATGTTCTCAATCGACAAATACGAAAAGTCCGCAAACGGGTAATACGTCGAACTTTCTATCCCACCCCCTTGCAACCGATTCGCTTGTGCATTCAGAGGCGGCCGCGCATCATAAATTGCTAATCGTTTACTTCCGGCCTTCGTCAAGTTCACTAACTGCCTCAGAAGATTTTCATCCTCTTCACACCGGACCCGTCCCAGCGTGCCGGGGAGCGGTTGGGCGGATCGCGAAATCGTTTGATTCTTCTCGCCCCTCCAACTAATCGCGGGTATTCGACCTTTAGAACGGAAGGTTAATACAGTGGAATACTGGATTCCGTCCGGTAAAACGACTGATTGGGGGTACGTTGGTGAAATTGTCCCATCGCGGTTATCAGCCATTTTAAAGCCATTTTGAGCCGTCAGTCCTAACCTTGAAAATTCTTTGGAATACGACATTGCTCGCCACTCTGACTCTCCTGAAGTTGTTCCAGAAGAACGAAACGCGTACGTTTCAGTATTGGAACGTGGAAAAAGAAGACGGCATTTTTCATCAAAGAAAATGCTTAAAACGCGTTGAACTTTGGAACTGTCAGACACTATAACGGACGTTTTTAAATTCTTGCACAGAAGGACAATAGCGTCGTGGGAATCGTCAATGGTGTATAGCTGCAGTACACAAACGGCGGCATGAGGGATTGATATTAACGTTTGGTTTTCTGGGCTTACTAGAATTGTTCTGTATTTTGTTATAATAAGCCCCTTTTCGTCGAATACAACAGGTTCGAAGGGGTCTAAGACGTCGAGAGATTTACAGAAGAAGGTCGAGGGCTTTGCGCCGGACGATTTTATGAAAACGACTTTCTTTGCGTCTGCGATTTGGTCGGTGTTTTCGACGGAAAAGACTTCTCCGGTTTTACTCACGATGAACATGAAAGTGTTTGTAGCTTGGAATTTCAAAGCGACTGCGTTGATTGAAGTTAATGCACTTGTTGCGATGATGAAAGACATGCGATTTGCATAGACCCAATTGTCGTCTTCTGTGGGTGCTTGTCTATAGTAATCAACTGTTCGAAGAGGGTTGTGCTTCTTTTCTAAGTAATCGCCAACGACTATTAAATGACACTCGGGCTTTTTGTTCACTTCTAATACGATGGACCCATCTTTTGCCCAACACGAAACCGTTTGTTCAAAGGAAAAGACTTTGTTGCCCTTTTTAATGACTAAATCGTAACTGGACGCCTCGGATAAGGGTATTGAAACTGTTCCTAGTAAAAAAGTTAAAACACTTTCTTTGTCCCAACTTGAGTCGACAATCGTCTCGAAGGGCGGGATGTTCTGGAATTCGGCGATACATAACACGTCGAAATTTGGTGTATCCCCCTTCATGGGTAAAGGTTTGTTCGTTTCAAATTTTAAGGACGTCTCCGCCATTGTGAAGTCACTTTTTAAGTTCCACACTAATACGTTTCGCCGAAGGAAGACCTGTTTGCGCCGACCTTCATTGAGATACAAAACATGACTTGTCTTGAGCCCAAGAGAATGTTCAATTGCTCTTAATAGGTCAGCCACTGTGGTGTAAGGACTCACAATGACTGACACGTATTTATCATTGAAATTAACAGAGACTTCTTTGCACTCACTAGTTATATGTACCACAGCCCCGCCACGTCCAAAAATTTCAATGGTATTACATTCAACCCCTTCCTCATACAATTCACAATTGCCGGAGGCATCAATCGAGTATATTTCATGCGAAATTCCTTCTAAAAGAAAATGAAAAGCATTCGTCTGTATCATCGAGTTCACCGTTTGAGTCGGAGGAACACTACAAATGATGGAAATGGAGACTTGTGGTGGGGGTAATTCTTTTGGTTTTGTGGGAAGAAGCAGTGGGTCGGAAAAACCAAGTGGGTCAAATCCTTTAATACGACTCACACTCATCTTTGGTTAATTTATAGTTCGGTTTTTCCTTTAAAATCGTATTGGAGTTCAAGTGTTTTTAATAAATAGTGAAAGAAGTATAATTTTAATCAATTTAATTAACAATTTTTGTATATAAAATCAAAGTTAATGTCAGAGTGTTGTTTTTTGTGTTATTACATCAATTTTTATTTTAATTTTTTATAAACGTTTTTTTGTGAAGTAAAAAATAATATTTATTAGTTGTTTTTGATAATTTCAAAAAAAGTGTTAAAAAACCCTTTAATTAAAGTCATAAAATTAACTATTTTTTATTATAAAATATTAATAATTGTCAAAACACATAAAAATTATGAAGTGTTTTATTATTATTATTAATTAATTATTAATTAATAAGAAATAAATTATTAATTAATTGTTTATAAAGGAAACTCCAATCCAATCAGAGGTTTCCAAAATCACAATGCTAATTACCCACCTCACCATTTTATAACCAAAATGTTCATTTTCTCTTATAAATTCGAACGTTATAATACCACATTTTCGGCAATAATTATTTTGGAAACCTCTGAATCCAATAACTTTTATTAACATCAATTGAAAATGAATAATAATTTCATAATTATTTTAAAACAAAACATACAACTGTAATTAATTGACACTTTTTAAAAAATATTAAAAGATCTCAGCGTCATAGTTTTAAAGTTTTGAGTATTTCATTAACTTTTATTCTACTTATGATAATATAATTAGAATATATTGTAAAAATCTGGTGCATTTGTGATCGATTTCATATTAACACCATATCAAAAAACTAGATTAATTATTTTTTTGTATTGAGACTTTACATATAACAATAAACATCATTAAATTTTGAATAAATTACATTAAAAATTTATAGATGTTGACACTCCATAAACCAAAATGTACTTATTCTTTTTCAAAAGTGGTGTTGATAAAAGAGTTGTCAACTTATTATCCATTTTAAATGTTATATTTCAAAAAGTTACAAATGAGTTTAAAACATGTTAAAAAAATAAATTAAAACCATTTCAAATAAAAGAAATGATTTCGAGACATACGATGACTAAAAATTTACTTAATTAAAACGTGCCAAGCAATCAACAATTGTAATAATAATGGTGCTCAAGGTTATTAAGTAAAAATAATTACAATACAACAATATAAATTTCTACAATATCTCTCTGTACTTATTTATTTAAACTGGAAGACAAATAACAGTTAAATAATCCCATTTTTGACAAATCTAATTTAGGAAGTGTATGTGTATTTTCAATCGTTTTTATTGTTAAAATCAATCTTTAAAATTATGGAGTGGAACATCAACTTGAAAACAATAAAACACATTAAAATAACCAATAAAATCAACACAATATAACAAGTAAAACTTATAATTTGATAAAGATGTCACAATCTGATGTTGCAATAAAATTTAAAGATATTGTTGATTCCAAAGAAAAATTGGATGAACTGTTTGCAACTAATATACAAAAATACAACGCTATTCATGATAAAATCGCCGATGACAACAATACAATCGACAACAGTTTACCCCTTGATAAACAGTATGAAGAGTATAACAAACTTCAAGAAATTACTTCTAAAACGCTTGAAAATCAAAACGAATTTGTCGACCAATGTATCGAATTATCGAACAAACTAAGAGACATCACAGCCAAAATGGATAGTCTTATTCTGTTGGTCAACAAACAAAAAACAGACATGTCTGAACACCACCAACATGTGATATCACAAATGGTCGAAATCGACAAAAAACTCTGCGAAAAAGAAAAGGAGCCGCTTTTGAAACAAATCGAAGAAATTGAAAAGAGACACATCGAAAAACAAGCGTGTTTAAAGCATACAAAAGAAGAAGAAGAAAAAGTTGCTTATCTGTTCACTTTTCCTTTTTCAACACTAAAAAATTTTGATTGGAAAAGTTATCAAAACGAATTGACAGAACAACAGATTTTTGCTGTTGCGTTTGCAAGTTACGTCCAAAACAAAAATTTTGACGCTCTCAAGAAAAGTTTTAATTGATAAATGCGTTATTCGTCGTGTTTTATGGTTATTTATTTGTATATAAAAGTAAATATTAAAAATAAAAAACTTACAACTATCCA